GTATATTTGTCCCTGCAGAGTCTGGATGAGCCTTGCTGTTAAATGATACCGGTGCTGGTCCTGACAGAGGAAAAATTTGCTTGCTGGTTGTCTGTTTCGAGCATGTTTCACAATCTTTATTCCTCAATCTCCTCGGTGCTGATTTTGGTGTACTTGGGGTATTGCCAAAAATACACTTAATCTCAACTCTGCAAACAAGTTATAAATCCATTCCTCATGTCCTGGCTGACTGGTGTTTAGCGAAGCAAAAGTAAACATTGTGAGCTTTAAAAATGTAATGGAGGTTTCAAATGGAAAGATTATGAGGTAACAACAACATTCCTCCTTCGATTTGATGTCTGAATACATGATCTGAAGCCTGACTCATCTCTTATGTCTCTTCTACTTTTTTAAAAAAAAGCTGGATGTGTTTGTACACCCCTGAAAAGCAGAACTGAAGCTTGAGAATTAGTGTCATCATAACTACGAAAAAATGTTTTTAAAAAATTAAAATGAGGTTTTAAGTAGAGGGAATTTGGGGTGCCGGTTGGGCTCAAAGGTGGAGCCTTGTATCCTCTGTACTGTAGCTGTTAATGCACAAGGTAGGCTCATTCAATGTCATCCCCCCACTCCCTTATTCCAGTTTCCTGCTCTCTACAATCAATAAGGGCTCAAATGCCCCAAAATAACCTTAAAGAAAGATAGGAGGAAATTCGTGTTACTCTTCTGAGGACACTAAACTGATTAAAAACAATTCTCTCTCTCATCTGAGTGGGGCTTTCGCTTATTTTGGATGCTTTTTTGCTGCTGAGACAACATGGTGCATCGAACTAAGAAACAAAATAAAAAGCTTGGAATTACATGTTGTTATACTGAAGAATAAATACCTGCTTTATTTTCTTCCTCCGCAGCATCAATGTCGTCAGATGCTGAGATCTATCAATAGGTGCCTGATCACATCGTGTTCACATTATTACTTTATTTCCTCCTTTGCTTACTTTATTAGACACACTTTTAACAGACACGTTGACTACTATGATTAAAAATGTCAAGAAAACATCTAAATTGAATCTTTATGGAGTCACCAAGTCATCTCCATGCCGTGTATTTGTTCTGCTCAGTTACTCAGTTGTCCAGATTTGCTTTTCCTCAATGAAAGGAGCTCTTTTCTTAAGTAAACTCTTCGCCCAGCAGAAGTATCCATCAGCAGCCAACAAAATGAAAACAAAAATATGAAAAAAAAATCTAGCAAAAATTACAGATAATACCGAGAGACCAGACTTGCAGCAACGTCTCGGTTCAAGCGCATCGTCATAGCATCAATCGATAACAGAAGCAAATCTCCCATCACTATAAGTAGATGAAAAAAGCCCCTTTTCAAGATGTATTAAACATAATGGTTGTTGCTGGTGCATATAAAGCCAAGTTACTTGAAGGCATGGTTGACGATTGGAGAGGTTGGTAATTATTATAAACCTCATTTATATGGTGATCATGGTCCTATAACGCGATCTCCACAAGGTGAGGAGTAAAAGGAATGGAAAAAATCTGTTCACCCTAGCAGGTACAGAGCTGCAGAAACATTGACCAATAGGAGCCATCCGTCCCAGAAAGCTTGTATTGGTAAATCTCCTGCTCTGCCTCTCCATCCAATCACCTCCCTGTATTCGATGCACCCCTCTACCACGGTTCCAACTCGGCCCCTCCCACTCTACTGGCCCTCCTCAGAGCTCTGAGCAGCTAAACATAGCATAGCAGCTTAGCTGCAGGAGCTGTGATGGAGAAGGACGCAAAAAAAAAATACTTCTGCTTGCCCCACCGCCAAAAGTGGAAAGAAAACGCAAGCCAACAGGAGACAGGGCAGAGACAAAGAGGAAATGTGACTAAGCGAGTTTTTGTTGAGCAGGTAATTTTTGCCTTTTATCGTGGCACGTTTTATAAGTAAGTCTTATGTGTCTCTGTAATGTCAACACGGTAGCTGTCCAGGCAGCTGCAGACGGTGCTCACTAGCAGAGCTGGCATTTACTGCTGCTAGTCACTAGCGATGCGACATGGTGAATACTATTTGAAGCTAGCGTAGGATCTTCTGCCGGCCGGCTTCTTGCTCTGCCAGAGGGGATGTGCCGTGGGGAGGGCGATACATGTTCGGGGGGGAGTTATCGTGGAGCACAGAGGGGAGAGGATTGTGTGTGGGGGGTGGGAAGCTTTTTTCAAATCTGCCTCAACGGCTCAGTTTTTTCAACTGCATCACAGATCGTCAACCGTGCCTTTAATGCCTCAACAGAATACAACTCTGTTTGTGAAGGTGAATTGGGAACCTTTTTGTGATAAAAAGGATCAGCGTCTTTTTACAGACACTACAGAGATCAATGTATGCGAGAAGTAGGACTGAGGTATAAATGTTTAATACAATCAATGAATCCTCAATATGACCTGGTTGTAGTCAGTAAAAGGAGACCTGCTGATTTATAACAGGTGGGAGCTCTTTAAACACATCATTATATTCAGTAGGTGAAGTACTTACAATAGCAGGGTTCTTGTCACATTGGGCTCTATTTTCGTCCGCGCCGGTGAGGCGGCGGAGGGCGGCGAGCCCCGCGCAGTTGTATTTTCGTCCGGCGGAGCCCAGCGTAAGGCCAATTTGGTATTTTCGTGGCATGAGCCGCACGGAGGCGAGCCGAGATCCGCCAAGCTGGGCGTGGTGGCGTGGCAGGGGGAGGTGTTGACAGAATCAGCAGGCGCAGTGACATTTTCGTGCTTGCCAACGGCGTGTAAAGTGCGCTGAAAGCTCGCCGATTCAAACCTGGTCAGCTTTCAGCGCAAGGTGGAACGCAGCTGGTCTTGTAGTATTTTGGTAGACCGGCGGCGTATCGACATACGTCACTGATGCCTCACCGGCAGGTTTCCACAGTGTCAGGCAGATTTCAGTGCAATAAATAATCATCATCAACTATTAATCTGAGTCAGCACATACATTTAGATATATATAGATATATTCTGATCTATATCTGATCTGATGAGCGCGTTTGGCACGCGTTTGGACACACAACCTGACTGAATCAACACAGCTGAGACCGCATTAAATTAAATTAAATATCTAGTAAATAAACACAAATGATGAAGTTAACTAGATATTTAATTTGTCTCCCTCCTTTTCTTTCTTCCTCTTCCTCTTATTTCTCACACAGCTCGACCTGGATATGTGTCTGTGTCCTCTCTCTGTGCGGCGGCGGCTGAACGGATGATTTGTTTCAGTGCTCAGATGAGTTATTTACTTTAAGCCTACATACGAATATTATAATATTTAGTTTTGTGAACCAAATTTATTTTATATGCCAACATCTATGAAAGAGAGAGCCATGAGGCCAAGGAGCATGATGCGTCATTACGCACAGATGGTTGTGATTTTAATGCCATTATTGGAATTTATGGTGTGATCTGTGCGCACAACTCATCTTTGTCATATGGGATTTAAATATATGCAGCACATACATTTAGATCTACAGTACATTTTGATGTATATCTATAGGAGCGCGTTTGGCACGCCTAATTGCCACTCCACCTGACCGACTAACACAGCTGAAACTCTGATGCAAACTAACTACTTCACGTCTCTCTACCAACCACAAACAGCTTCGTCATCACAGAGAGAGTATATATTTGGCATGTCATCTCAGAACACTGAGAAAAGAATCAACGCACACTGAAGCAAAGTAAGTTATGACCGTTGTTCTCAAGATTTACATGCAGCATGTGATCTCACAGCTACAAATTTAATAATTTCCATGCTTAACATTATCTACAAAGATGGAGTACATAATTGCAAGGAGGTGGAGGAGGAGGAGGAGAAATTACAGAGAGAGGGTGATTCATCACAGGGCATCATATTTAACCTTAACAGAGCAGGAATGCAGGTGGGCCACATGGATAACGCCTCCAACACCGTGTTCAATACAACTGCCTTTTAACAATCTACTATTTTCCTTGACACAGGACCAAATTACACCTGCCTCGTGAGGTGGTCCACGCGATCACACGGATTGTGGCCTCAGATGCGGACCCCGGTGGCCCATGCGCTCTCCCAGTTGCTGTGAGGGTGACAGCGGCTCTGACTTTCTTCGCCACCGGGTCTTTCCAGCATACCGTGGCTTCGGTGGTAGGGATAAGTCAGGCCGCTGTCAGTTTGGCCATACATGCAGTGTCCACCAGTCTAGTCCGACACGCAAATGAGCACATCATTTTCCCATCATCACCTGCAAGCCAGCTGGAAACGAAGCGAGGGTTCTTGTTGAAATATGGATTCCCTGGGGTCCTTGGAGCAATTGACTGCACACATGTGCAGTTGCGCGCACCAGAGACCCAAGCCCTCATTTATGTGAATCGTAAGGGAGTCCACTCCATTAATATCCAGGTGATTTGTGACTCAAATTGCCTGGTGACAAACGTGTACGCTAATTACCCCGGGTCTGCACATGATTCATTCATCCTGGCGAATTCTATCATCCCTACGGTCTTTCAGGGGGACACCCCTCTGGATGGGTGGCTGCTAGGTGATAACGGCTATCCACTGAAAACGTGGTTGATGACGCCATACATTACACCTTCAACAAGACAGCAACGTGTTTTTAACAGTGTCTTCAGCAGTGCTAGGTCAGTCATTGAACGTACTTTTGGAATCCTCAAAATGCGTTTCAGATGTCTGGACCGGTCAGGTGGTTCATTAACATACAGCCCGCAGAGTGTCGGTGCATTCTTTGTGGCATGTTGTGTTTTACACAACTTAGCTATACGCCATGGATGCCACTACGACCTCGCCGAGGACACATTACTGGACTTTAGACAGAGAGAGGCCGAATTGCATGTGCCATGTCAGCAGGGAGAGCAGCAGAGCGCGCAGGTGAGGAGGGACCGCCTCGCAGCACAGCTCTGCCCTTAAGTGTTAGTATATGCTTTCATTCATTTATACACTTTTTGTAATTATCCACATTAAAACATCCAATAAATAGTCAAACATGATTGCATTAACAAGTGTTTTTATTGTGTTTCTCCCCTCCCAACCCCCTTCTTCTTCTTCTTCTTCTTCCTCCTCCTCCTCCTCCTCCTCCTCTTGGGTCTGGACGCTGCAGTCGGTCAGTCAACCCAGGGGGCCGCCCCCCTCTTGTGCGCGGCCTCAGCGGCCACCTGGGACAGGCGGGGGCGGATGATTCTGCTGGTGGCAGCAGCCTTTCGGCTACCTGGACCAGCCGCTGCAGTGTCGCAACGCCAGCGGCTAAGGGGAGCAGGCTGGCCTGGAGGACCTCCTGGAGAGCCTTCACCTGGGCCTCCAGCGACCCAAGCCGCGTCCCCATCGACCCCAGCTCCCTCTCCAACATCAGAAAACCAGCCCGCTGGGTGTCCAGGAAGGGCTGGTCCTCCCGCTGAACGCGGTTTCGTCTCCGACCCCGTGTTGCCGGCTCGTCTCCACGTCCTGCCCCCTCCCGCGTCTCCGGCACCGGCTCCGGCTCCCCCTGGTCCTCCTCCTCGCGGTCGTCTTCGTCCTCTCCCTCCTTCTCCTCCCCCCCGACCACCTGCTGCTGCTGTTCTTCCTCCTCCTCCTCCTCCTCCTTGTGGTCTGCTGCTGCCGCGACGGCGGCAATTCTGCCGAGGCTGACCAGAAATTTTATTTTAGTAAATCACAGAAATTCTTTTTTTAAAAATGTTAATACTTTCATTTAGAATAAAGAAGTTAGAAATTGTGTGAGCAAAGTTCATTTCAGATGCAAACATTAGCGGAAAGGGGGAGAAAATACAATCAGGCTTTGTTTGATCCGTCTTTACGCACAGGTGGTTCCGATTTCAATCCCATTACGCATGGCATTTTTTCAGATCACCTGTGCACACAACACACCTTAGTAACACGTGGTTAAATATACATGTTAGTGTCTTTATTTGTGGAAAAGAATGTTTGTCTTACCCGTGAGTCCAACCTCAGAGACACCAAACCCCTCGATACTAATTTTGGGGAGTGTGGAGGACGCCACGTCCTCCGCAGGGCTCAGCACCACACTCGTTGAGGGGCCGCCTCCGGTCGTTGCAGTCTGGCGACGGTGGTGGGATAATTTAAGTTTAGCCCGTCGTCTAACATCATTGAACCGCTTTTTGCATTGCGCAGCGGTTCTCAGCACGTCCGGGCAAACTTGATTGACAGCAGCACTTACCTCTTCCCAGGCTGCTTTTGCATCATCGACCCGTGGAGGTCTGTTCGCGTGACCGTATATCCGGCCACTGCGAGACTGGACCTCCCGGACCAGAGCATCAGTTTCCTCCTGAGAGAAGTTCGGCTGTCTCGCACTCGTTTCCATCTCGGCCATCTGTGAGTCTGCTGCACGAAAATGCCAGTGCGCCTCGCCGACGGCGGATTTAAAGGCGAGGAGAGGCGGTTATTTGATTGGCACAAATTGGACTCGGCTGTGTTAAACTCACTTCACACCCACTCTCCTTCCCCCCACGACGTATGCTGCTGGGAGGAGCTGAGTTAGGGAGGGGGGATACTTACGCCGGGCTGCGCGGCCCACCAAAATACCAAAATGTGCTTGGGAACGCCTTGTCAGCGCGGCGGATCTGATTGACGCTGCGCTTGCGGCAGATCTCCGGCGAGGCACCAAAATAGAGCCCATTGTCTTTATGTGTCACATCCAGGTGTTAAACTAAGCTGTCAGGGTTGAGGCTAACTGAGGTCCTTCAAATGTAACAGCAAAATACATTCCGTGTCATCTTGAAGAACAAACAAATGTATGCCGCAGGATTTAGCACACCATTATTTGTCTCTTTCTGGCAATAGATTTAAACAGATCTGTTTAAAAATATCTGTTTAAATAGTTGAAACAGAAGCTGAGGTTTGGGCAGGATAAAACACAAATACAATAAAATGTTCTCTTTTTGGTTTCACTTGTTTTTATCCACGTCACGTCATGGGCCTTTGAAACAACATGTCATGTCTTAATACACAGTCATTTTACTTTGATATTAAAGGTGTATTATGTTTTGTAGTAGACCCAGGATGACATTTATAAGGCGACAGGTCACTCACCGGAGACCACTATCTATTCATTAGAGTCTTCTGCCGAAATGAACTTAAACCATTGACTCTCTGAAAATGAAAAGATGAACCTCTTAATCAGCTTTAAAACCTGTGTGAAGTAGCCTGTGTGGTTAATGTAATAAAACAACAAACACAGCTGCAGAGTGCACGTATTCACAAAGATCTACAGGGGGTAATAAATCAAATAGATTGGAAAATGAAATTCATGCTTCATAAAACTTTTAGTGCAAGCACCCAAATCACAGTTAGCAGCCTGAGAATTGCTCCCTCTTCTCTCTATGCTTAAATAACCGTCAGTATGTAGATAAAATGTGCCTCTGGGTCACAATCTGTCAGAGTTACCTAACTGCAGGTTAATTCTCGTCTCGCTCCCTCTGTGGTCTTTCAACACTCCGAAGCGCAGCTCTTAAATTTTCAAACTGTCACTGAGTCAGATTCATTTCCTCTTCAGACATCTGAAGAATCCTTTAATACCACATTCATTATCTCAGCTCATTCTTACGGTGCTAAACAGCCTTTGCACTTTTTTTTTCTTTTGTATTATATTGAGGCCTTTTGTTTGGCTAGACATCTGCAGGAGCTAATTAGAAACCATTTGAAGGCTCCTAATATGTTAAATATTAACTTAGATTTGTGAAATGCCTGCAGTGACTTCTTCTTTGTGAGATTTAAAAGATGGATAATGAAGGATATCTCTCCACTAAATCCATTAATGTGCTCTAGATTTAAGCAACTTTAGACTCAAAGCTGTGTCCTCTTTAAATGTCTAATCATTTACCATGGTCATCCCAACCTCTTCTTTTGTGAATGATAAAGAGGATTTGACAAAATATATACAGTCGACTTTTGTTTGAAAATTCTCCATATGGACTAAGAATGGCACCTCTCAGAGTCTCACACAGCTCCTCAGCAGGCCTCCATCCTCTTCATGCCTACTTTTCACTGTGTGAGCCAACGGATGGAGATTTTTACCATGATTAAAAAAAAAACTTTCCTTCCCCTGCAGTTCAGACTGGCAGATAAAGCGACAATTTATTGACAGGCTATTTCCTACATAGGCCAACCTACTGTGGAGTCACTTTGCAGTTTGCCAGAGCCAAGAGAACAATCAAGATTAGACCATTTAATTTGCTGGTATATATGAGGGAGGGGACAAAAACGAATTAACTGAGAGAAGCAGACAGAGCCAGTTTGTAAATCTGTTTGATTGAAAATCTGTAGCTTCTTTTTCTTCAACATGTCAACCAGTTCATTAATCCTTATTCAAGTCATCCAAACCCTCAAGAAATTATGACAATGCTATTAAGTCAAGTACCAATTACCATGGGAACAAAAAAGAAGAAAAGGAACGAGTGTCAATCAAATAAATTTTGGAAGAACTTTTTAGTGAGCTTTCCTTGAGTTTTACGGTCTTCATGATACACTGTACTCATGTTGATATCAGTCAGTTCCAACCTGGAACTGAATACAAAAAAATATTCCAATTGGGATTATAACAACCATAGACTGTATTTACTATGGACAACTTGGTTCTGCCTTCAGCCAATATAAGGATTTGAAGCCGAAAAGTTCTTGGTATTTCTGTGATTTTCGGCCACTTCCTGAAACCAAAATTGCACAGTAGCGTTGTACACACTCCACCACTTGCGCAGTGGCATTGTATGCATTCGGCGGGAGAGTTGCTGTGATGATGCTCGGCCCAAACAGCATATCCCCCAGATGAGCTACGCAATCCTTGTACGCCCATAGGCTGTATCAAGTGTCAATCATAGAAATCATGAACCTCCTAGTAAATTTTTAAAATGGAGCTGTAAAAAGAGAAGAAAAAAGAGGACCTGGGCACAAACCAGCCTTACAATAACTACATGTCAACATCACAACCAGGGGGGAGAAAACTGTATATTCTGTGTAATTAATTTCTAAAGTTTGTCCACAGCTCCAGAAGAATTGCCGAAGGAGGTGGGATTTATGACCTATGCTGCAGCCTGTCACCAGAGGGTGCTATTCTCTGGATGGCTTCACCCAGCGAGGAGGCAGATGCTGCCCATTCTATATACAGTCTATGGGACTAACGCTCATGTCACTGTTGTGGGTCAGTTGTACTTAACTTGTTTTCTGTATGCATTCATATCATAGAACTGCTCGTCACTAGCTTTAAATCTACTTCTCGAAAGTTAGAGATCATGTAGCCTTTCAGGTGTACTTGAGCTCCCTTGGCCTGTAGGTTCCTCTTAATGGCTGCCACCAACCTGAATCCAACTGTTACAACTACTAACCCCCAATTCCCCCCATATTCTGAATGGCTGTTAAAAGGCTGTATGCACTGATTGTAGCTAATAGTAACCATTCAAGTTAATGCCTTAATTTCCACCGGCTTCCTTCTGTTCCCCTGTGGATCAGCGGACTCCGCAGCTGATTGCAAGAGTTCTATTTTTTTCAGGACGCCGCAGCATGCCGCATAAATTCAGCACAGGTTAGTCTGTATTGGAATAGAAGTCAGGCACGGATACAAAATAAAACATCCGGCTTCTTTTCAAAATAAAACACTGCGTATTTAAGGTGGATCGTGTTTCACACCATGCAAACGGGCAGGGACGAACAAGTGAAAGGTTTATAGACAGCATTTCACCCCAATGACACCTTGGATGAGAGAATCCTGATTTTATAAGTCTAGAATCAGATTTCCTCCTCTGGAAGGACACAATCTACTGCTTATATGGTAATGTAGCTGTCTTTATAAAGACAACTCGTTATCGCGTGATTGCACGTGAATCCGTGGGTTTTTGTGAGTTCTCGCGATTCCCGCTGTCCATAATCCGCCACGAAATTTGCCTCGCAAACGGATCGGGTCGCAATTGGGGGATGGTGAAAATCGCTGCCATTCCGTAGTGGAGCCGTTCCAGATGCTGTGGAAATTGGGGGTCAGTCTAACTTTCCCCACCCCTGCTATTGTTCAGGTAAGTGTTGGGACTGCTCGTCCCCAAAGGCTATAATTAACATAATCAGTCAGTCCTTCCCATCACACTGACATTAGAGTTGTTCATGAAAACATTAGACTAATCTCTGGGTTATTGAACACCTGCCTTTCTTACTCACTACCATGCTTTTTAAAAGTCTTGCTTCTGATTAGTCAAAATGCCATAACAGCAATGAGCTATTTTCATCCACAAAGCTGATGCCAGGGAAAACCTGATGTCACATATCAATTCACTTCTGCCTGTTGACCCTATGGAAAAAACGTGGCCCAAACAGTTCTAAAAAAGAGGAACTATAAAGTATGTCCTGCAATCCGGACAACTGCAACATCTTCTGTTTTGTTGAAAAAGTGATGATACCACATCCGGTTATAAAAACCTGTTTTTGCGACTCATTCAACAGTGTGTTGTCAAGGCTTTGACCAACAGAAAAATAAAAAAAAGGAAAGTACAGAAAAACTTCCTAAACATCTAATTATGTTCTCAGTGAAACCCAGAAGCGAGCAGTTCTGTAAAGGTCACTACTAAAAACACAGCAGTTTATCTTGATACTGTGTGGCAGGCGGGTGGGGTGGGGTGGGGGGTGGATGTACCCAAGCTCCTTCTGCCAATATCACCTTTATGAATAACCACAGCAGATTTAAAATAGCCATCTCTGTACTGTGTGTGTGACACATAGAGTGACATCCCTTAATGAAGGCAGCGCTCTGACACGCACAGGGACCTGGTGGTCTGACTAACTGACAGCAGGCTGAGTGAAACAAAGAGTCTGTGGTGTCGTTTGACTGACACATTGTTCCAGACTTTCCTGGTTCTTCTCATTTAGCAGTAATACTTCCCATCCAAACTGGACATTGCAGACCATGAAATCCTATTTGTGAAATGATGTGCGTGTGTGTATAATGTTTGAGCTGTATGTTGTGCATATACCAGACAGGAAAACTTTAATTATTTAAACTGTATCTGTTTTTCTAATATCTGACATACATCTCTTCTCATTTCCTATATGATTTTCTCGAACACTGCTCTTGAAACAACACTTGTCCTGAGCTACTTCAGGACAATTTCCAAAGATCCACAGCTGATTTAATGTGTACAAATCTACTGTTGAGCAAAGCCATTAGCAGTAACTCTCACTGATGTTGTTGATGAGTGACAGATTTATGGAGCAGCACATCCACCATCCACAGACCCACAGGAAAGAAGACGGACTCTGCTCCTGCACTAGCTCCCTGTGCTGTCAGGATTATTTATGAACGTAAATACTGCTTCCTCTGCCTAGTAATTACTTTAAGAGTGCACTTCAATTAGAGTAGCTAATTAGTGTTTATCGTGTTTATGTTTTTGCTCCTCTCTCTCTCCTCTCTCTCTGTCCCTCCGTCTCTCCCTCTTTCTCTCTGTGGCCTTGCATTTGCAACCATCTTCAACATCTGCTGCAAAAACTCTGCCCATGCTATCCCTCACTTTTTTTTTTCAAATTAATGATTCGGTATAATTTAATATTCAAATGAGTCTGCTTTGAAGAGTGAGAGTCATTAAGCTTATCGACTCCAGCTCTCCCCGACTCTGGGGACAAACTGCTGCCTCACACAAAAGCTTTATATATTCTTAAAAAAACAAATACAACATTTCGACCATGAATACAGGATTGTTTTCACCTCCGTTATAAAAAATAGTGCCGATTTTATCTGTTCATTGCGCTCACATTCACAGGTGGATGATCTTATTTATTCTGATGAGGAAGAAAACTATCCTCTTGGTGTTGAGCAGCAGTAATAGAGCCAATATGTGTCCTTGTATACGGTTTTACTTGTGCTTGTGAAATTTAAAACAGAATTGCATACACTCAACCACCCCAAGGATGGGAGAATAGATGAATATTAAATACTTTGTCTTTAAAGTCAGGGTAAAACCTCTTCATGCAAAATTTAAAGCTAGAAAATCTTGCTGCATGAGCAAAATTCAGTAAAATAATATTTTGTGTTTTTAGGAAGCCGACTTAATGTTGTAGTTATTGGGTCTTTATAAAAAACAGTAAATATACCCTTTTATAGTTGCAGAATAAAACAAGCTGAGCACTGATTCTCATCCTTGTTGAATCGAGGGCCATTAAAACCAGTTCACCCTCTTCTTTTGATTTTTGATAACAGTTCAGATACAATAGTGCTTATTCCCAGATGTTCGAATGAGGATCTTTCTATAGTTGGGTCCTTAGTGTTTCACTTGACACCTTGGCAGTAGTAAACAGGTGACCCCCTTAACAACCAGACCTCTTCACGTCTCATCCAGCTCTTAAGTTGAGGGGCGCAGCATTATAGAAACTTCTCCAGTAGCGTGCTGATAATGATGTTACTGGCTCCATAATGTTTGACGTTTCCATCCCTGCTCTTATCATTAACAGCTCTGTGTCCAAACCTTTTTATGTCCTAGTCTTGAAACATGTCAGAAAGCACATGTGGTGTGATATTTCGCTGTGAATTAGTAAAAATAAAGATATGACTGAGAGTGCGGTGAATCGAGTACCTGTCCAGGAGCATTTCTTGGACTTGAACCAGAACCCTCAACCCTGAGGCTGTGTCTCATTTCAAAGACTGCATACGGCTGAGTGCGCTTAGCTGAGCACACTGCTGTTATGTGAACTTGAGGACCCTGGGTGTGATGGTTTTTGTGAATTGGGATGGTCTACCCTTCGGAGGACTCCCCGGTTGAGTTGCAAAATGTCCCCACCCTCAGGGTCGCGTCACGACTGACTAGAAAAAAAGCCGCCGAGCACAGCAGTTATTTTTTAATTGTGCGACCTTGCACAGACACAAAACAATAGATACATACGAGCACAGATCATTTCCACAAAATTCATCCAATGATTGTTTTGTATGAAGGAGTATGAGGGCCATATTGAGAATTTTTTTTAAAGACTTGGAGATTAAAGTCGTGAATTTACAAGAATAAAGTCATTAATTTATGAGAATAAAGTCGTAAAGTTACATGTTATTTCAGAGGAGACTTGTTAAAATTAGGGCCATGAAGCATTTTAACGAACTGTGCTTCAGTATAGGTTTCACAAACAAGGAGATACTTCATCCGCTGGCACATCAGCATCACATTGTCATAAGTATAAGGACTTTATAAAGAATATATGAGAAATGCAGCTTTACCAGAGGAAAAAACAGATGGACTTAGCGGAAATCGTTGCTTTTGTGGAGGCAGAAATGGATAAATGCTGCAGATAAATCTGTCAATGCAGCCGTAAATCGCCGTGAATGACATTGAGCTTTAATTTATGATATGAATCCATATGCCGTATAGGTGTTGGTGTCTCTGCAGGTGTAGTTTACCGCCGGTGTCAGAAACATGGTGCACGTCAGAGCTCGACTCCCTCTGGATCACAAATGTTGATCACCAGTTGGATTATTTCTTGAATACCACAAAAACTCTCTGAATGACCCGCTGATGCATCCACCGATAACCCTGCAGATGACCAGTTCATCCATTTCCCCCTCCACAAAAGCAGCTTTATGACTTTATTTACTTTATGACTTTATTCTCTTTATTTAAGTTTACAACTTTAATCTCTAAGTCTTTAGAAAAAAAATGTTGTCCTGATACTCTGCTGTAGTTTTGTCAGCTTTCTTATTTCCAATGTTTTTGATTGAGGTAGCAGAGCAGATCAGTTCGTCACTAAAGACTATCATGTTTGGTTTGCAGATTTTAGTGAGTTAAGAGATCATGCGCTCATGCAGCCTGAGCTGACTGTGTTTTTGCATTTCTTTTGTTTTCTTTGAAGATGCGCTGCGTCTCCAAGCAAGTCTGGCCTCTCACCCGAAATGTGCAGCTGTGCAGCGACACGCAAAGAATTCTGGGATACCAAAGCCATGAAAAAGGGGCGGGGGCATGGTGGTTTTGAGACCGCATTTGAAGCGCGCTCAGAATTACAAGCCAGATGGGACACCATTAGCGCCGTGTGATGACATCACGCACACTTGAAATGCACCGTTCGACGGTGCAGTCTCTGAAATGAGACACAGCCTGAGCTGCACCCCACAAGGAGAAAAAGAGGAAGTCAAAGAAAATCAATACATCCATAATGGCCGCAGGAAGAGTGGTTTACTTGGAGCAGGAATCATTTCTCTAAAGCACCTCAGCAGATCAGCAGGGACAGCACAGCAGCATTGCATTGATGGGAGTGTCTAAACTAAATATAGATATAATGGAAGTTTAAGTGTTATGAAAGTGAAACTACAAATTTGAACACTGGGACATCCAACGTACTTTGAAAACAGAAAATGTTTTGACGAACAGTAATGACTGAAACGTGATGATAAAATGTGACTCAAATTGAAGGCTTATCCAATCCTAAGACTAAGACTAAATCTGAAATAGCCACCAATATTAACACAGATTCCTAATAAGTCGCTATATACAGACAACCTCAAAGTCACGTTTCAAACTTTTTGCTGTTTTATTCATCTCAGGACCTTTTGACACCTAATGGTTTCTTGATCCCTATTAGAACCACTGCACTTTAAAACAAAATTTATGCAGAAACAAAAACAAAAAATGGAAAAGGTATCTGGAGTTTCCATAAGAATCTGGTCCTGTAGGTGCTGAGCCAACTGTCCAGGTTGCTAAAACTCTTAGATCAGTGTTTCTCAACATTTGTGCCAGTGAGCTCTCTGCTGGGGACAGATAATTTACCTTACCTGCCAAGCTCATTATATACACCTCAGCGCTCAAGATCCTAGCTGCTTAATCATGGACACACTTAAACACAGCTCTCTCTGCACTTGTTTTTTTCAGTCTCATTAAGAATTATTTACCGGGACGATTTAGTCCACTCAGTGGATTTATGTGAGGCTTCTCTGAGTTTACTTGCTTATCCTAGCAGCAAATTTTCTTCTGTATTGATCAGAAAAAACACAAGAAGAATGTCACAAATTATTTATGTGGTGTGTTCTTTCCCCTCTGAAAAAGTTAGAAAACACAGCAACTGGAGCCCAAAATCTTCAGCGTGTGTATTACCACGAACTAAAACATTTTTGACTTTAATTAACTTGATCGATTAAAATGATTTCAGTCAAATGCCCAAGTACAGTCACCTGCAACCAAAAAGCCTCATTACACTGGGCTGTAAAAAGGGTACAAAATCTTGTTTTGCTTTTCCATGTAATCTAGTAAATCAGAAAAAATGAAGGTCTGCTGGATTTAGAGATCACCACTGTGAGGTATATGAAGGTATAAACCTGCAATCTGTATGGCCAGTGACTTTTAATCCCACATACTTTGTACTAGATTTTTTTCTTCTGTCAACCCAAAATATTTCTTCAAGCACTGAGCACCATAAAAACTGAAGGTGATTTTCACTGTTTTCTTAAAGACCTGCTCCAGCACTAATGCTTCTTCCCTGGTGCAGCAGCTTTGAGTCAAAGATGGATACATCGTGCTGATCAAACGTCACAGTCACAGGCTTAGACTTGATTAAGTAGTGAGCATTTAGTAACATTAATGATAGAAAACAACAGCTCAGTTGGAAAAGAGACATCCAGCAGCCGTCCTACCTCATGCAGGATGCTCCTTGTACATATCTGTGTGTGTATTCTTAAAATACCCCTCAAACGTGGCCTGTACAGTAGTGATGTACTATTGATATCATGCAGCCTCTTGATGTAGATTTCTCAGTTGCTGTCTCACTTGGTAGGATGAGATGAGGAGAAAGACAAGGACACAAAGCAGGTAAACAAACCGTAGAAGGCTGTGTCTGTGCACAGTTTCCTGTAGGCCAGACGGTATCTGTCACTTTGGTGCGTTCTTGTGAGGCATCTCTCCATAGAAGCTGGCTGTGTGTGTTTCTGTTCAGTCAGCATCCACCTCCTTTAAATAGACCCTGTTCTTGAAAAACAGATGGGACACTTTGTAATAGTCGGTTTAAAAGATTTTGAATATGTGACAGGAAGCAGGCAAAAAGGTAGAATATATTTATTCTCCTCTAATATATTTATGAAGCACTTAAACCTGCACAACTTTAAAATGCATTACCGTTGCACATAATGAGAATGAAGTCACTCAATTAGAGCAGAATAAAAACAAAAACTGCAGAAGATGTAATGTATATGAGTGCAGCACTCTAGTTCTGATTTTATTAAGGATTGGGTTACAGCAAAAGCGAGATTGATACCTCAACTTTATTTCAAAGTTAACCTGGAAAGTTATTTTAACAGGCTTTAAAATCATCCATAAAATATTAGAGTAAAATTAAATTGAACACCTCTAGGAGTGTAGTGAAAGGCACTAAAATCATGCCACACTGTTTATGCATGTGCATAACAAGCTGCAGTAATAAAACAAGGCACATCATGAGGCTGAAATTCACAGCTATGAATTGATCCAAATCAAAATGTGAATGAAACACAAATATATTATATCCAGAGCAGATTATGAACACATAATAATGGTTTAAAATACACTCATTTCACTGCTGTATAATGTGAAAAGTATACTTAGTGTTAAATGAATAGAATGTGTAGTTGACTTTAAACTGTTTATCAAATCAAGATTTGCATGACCATTTTAACAACAAATTCTACATGCACACCGAATTTGGTGAGGGAGTTCCACAAGGATCGATGCTTGACCAGTTCCATTCACAGTGTACTGTATGATCATCCTGTCAGTAACATCATGAAACACAGTTGTCATGTTGATGACTTAACTATTTTCAGCTTAACTTTACTTATCAATAGCAATAGATGAAACCAGTCACTTAAGTAGATGACATGAAGGCGTGAATGACCTATAATATTCCAACAAATCTCTGAAACACAATGTCGAATAATATATCACCCCTTGATTTCTCTGACATCTACACCACCTTGAGGAAGGTCAGAGGTATTTTTTTTTAACATCAACTGTAACATTATATATAAACATTTCACTTGCACATGCTTTTACCGGCAATTTCCACCACATCCGGAACAGCTACAAGGCCATATCCGCCGGTCGTAACTTATCATAACCATTGAAGTTAATGGGCTCTATTTTCAAGTCCTCCCGCGATGCGGTGGAGGGTGGCGGACCCCGTGCAGTTGTATTTTCGTCTGCCTGTGCCATGGCGACGCACGAAAATAGAGCACAATGAGTCAATTTCCACTGGCTTCCTCCTGTTCCCCTGCGGATCAGTGGACTCTGCAGCTGATTGCAAGAGTTCTATTTTTTTCAGGACACCGCAGCATGCTGCATAAATTCAGCACAGATTAGTCCGTGCTGGAATAGAAGTCAGGCACGGATACAAAATGAAACCTGTGGCCTCTTTTCAAATTAAAACACTCCGTGTTTTAGTTGTACTTTAAACCATGCAAATGGGCGGGGACGAACAAGCGAAAGGTTTATAGACAGCATTTCACCCCGATGACGCCATGGATGAGAGGATGCTCATTTTATAAGTCTAGAGGCAGATTTTCTTCCTCTGGAAGGACACAATCTACTGCTTATTTGGTTAGCCTATGTGGCTAAAGACAACTCGTTATCGCGCGATTGCACATGAATCCGCGGGTTCGTGTGAGTTCTAGCGATTCCTGCTATAGGTAATCCGCCACAAAATTCGCCTCACAAACGGACCCAGTAGGAATTGGTATAAATTGCCGGATCCGAGCTGTTCTGGATTCGGTGGAAATACCGGTTTAGACTTGTGGAAATTGTGCTTTTGAGGCTAGAGAGCCAAATCTTTGGAGCTCTCTCATTGATGTACCACTGATTCTGTGGTAAAAGCATATCTGTGAAGACAGACATATGGATAACTTGTTTTTACCCATTACACTGTTAGTGGGTAAATGATCTGTTTTCATTGTGTCAGTCATTATTTGTGATAATTGCATCCATTAGTTTGAGTTTGACTACTACTTAGTTTGACTACTTGGCTCAGTGAGGCTGTCTTATTTTTGCATTTTTATCTCTCTTCTTTTATTATTATTGTCATTATTATGACACTTAATGACTGAAAATTTGAGTACTGAGAAAGAGACCATATTATTCCTGGACAAGCCCCTCTGCCCTGGTTACCCATAAAATCCAGCATAGAACTTAAAACCCTTTTTTTAACAAATGGCTAGTCACCAACTATCATACAAAGTTTTTACTTGCCTTTTACTTCTCACATGAAATATTTCCCAAAAGTAATAAAGGAGGCATAGCCCCTCTCCTTTAAAATATTTGGGCCACTTTCACATCCTCTCTTTTTTTTGAGAAAAGCCTAAAACCTGTCTTGTTAATAAACATAGCTAGGTTCAGCCAAAGGCTTAGACTGCCAAACGACTGAAACACCAAGTTGCTGTCTACTCCTTTCTCATGACCACATTGCATCTGTCCCAGAAAGCATTTTTTAATGTATCTTGTCCCCTGAGTCATTCTGCTGAAACTCAAACAAACCGGTTTGGGCCAATGAAAAAAACATTAATGATTCTTGTTTGCAAAACATGCTTTATTAATCCTGTCATAATTCCAACCATTTTCTCAATTTCTATTTAGCCATATTTGGCTCTATGGTGCTGTGTGATGAGATTAAACTTAAATAGAAGCAGCTTGGGGTTCAGTGTAGTAGGATGAAATAGGTATAGCAGGAAGCTGCGTTGGAGGTGTTGAGGCCTGCTGTCAAAATAAAGAAGATGTCCAACGCTGGCCGGTCGCCCAGCATGTTTTCAAAGCACCTTTACTGGTGACAGTTACTGAATACTGCTTATAAATTCTGATTCTGGCAGTACTTCTCAGTTGTGGGATGCAGGAAGGAAAGATTTTTTTTTGTTGTGTGAACTGAATTCAGAGCTAAATCAAAAATAGCAAATACCCCTATGAAAGCAGTCATATAGGAATGTAATTTGTAGAGGACAAAAAAACACAAGTATCTAAATAAGAAATACTCAGAAATCTTGAGAAAACCATCTAAATTTAGAGCTTCTGATCACAGGCCTCATGTTTAGAAATTATAGTTTCTGTGGACTTCTGATAGAACCAAGTTTTGAGAGCATGAAGTTTTACATCAGTCTGGGCTTGAGAAAAGACCTGTCCTGGTTCCCTTTCACTGTCTGCTTTCTAATAAGCACTGCTGGTTAATTATAAAACAACGAAAACACCCAAGTCCATTCTGAATTTTAACACATTGCCTCATCTACATAGACTGAAGAACATTCAAGATCAAGGGCATAAAACATCTCTATTACATATTTGTTGAATAAAATAAGCATTGTCTGCTTCATAAAAGATAGGATATCAGATCTAGCTGCCCGGGAAACCTTTTTTTTTTTGTAAAAGTAAAAAGCAGCAAGTGTAATTTGACAATTTTATTTATTGTGTTCTGAAAAACCTCTTTTTCCTGAGGATCAAAGGAAATCTGAGAAGATCCCTAACAAAATAACATAATGTAGCTAAATGAAAATGGGCTTTTAGACTATTAGCTGAATGAGGCATTTCAGTTTTGTTTTCAGTGTCATTGACAGTTTGTGTCTGACTGTTTTACTACAGAGCAGCTGGTGCATGATGAATGTGTGCATGTATCATAGTAAAAGGGAAAAACAACACAGCTGTCCTCTGTTTTTAGGTTTTACGTTTTCTGCCGCTGATGTAAATAAATAATTAAAAGGTTCCAAACACACACACACAAGACTTTAAGTTTTCACTGTTTAGTGATTGTTTACTTTTATTTGCTGTTTAGAAGTTGGTGTTCCATGTACAGTTTTTCTAATCAGTTTCGAAAAAACTTTATGTTAGTGTCTTTATTTGTGGAAAAGGGTGTTTGTCTTACTAGTGGCTCCAACATTACACACACCAAATCCATCTGTGCTCATATGAGACAGTGTGGAGGACAGCCAATGCAGCGCTTACAGTGACACTTGTTGAGGAGCTGCCCTCTGTCGCCATTGTGTGGCATTACTGTCTTCAGACATTTCTTGATCTTTTTGACTACTTCACGAAAATAGTAATCCGCCTCGCCGGTGGCGGATTTAAAGGCGAGGAGAGGAGCTGATGTTATTGGTCAATATAGGTCTCGGCTGTGTTAAACCCACCCTCTCTCCTCCCTCCCTATGACTTACGCCGCTGGGAGGAGCTGAGTTAGGGAGGGGGGATACTTACGCCGCGCTGTGCCGCTCACCAAAATACCAAATTGTGCTTGGGAACGCCTTGTCGGCACGGCGGACCTGACTTATGCCGTGCCTACGTCACGTCTCAGGCGAGGCACGAAAATTGAGCCCTCAGAGTTAGGCTGTCTCTGCTATTTGTGCTGCACGCAGGGTGCTGTATTTGAAATGCTTCAAAATTTGTGATAAGGGCAAAAAATAATGACTTCATATCTAGATCTCATGTTTCTGGCAGAAAGGCAATTTGGCACCATTTTCTACAATTGCCTTGTGCTGCGCACAATGGTGGAAAATATTATTACATACATCATACATGGTTTAAAGCTGAGCAGCTCCGAGGCAGAGACACAGGCAGTGGTGACTTTGTCACTGTACCCAGTGGTTCACTGCCTGTCTTTACTGAGTCCAGCGTTGACATTCAAAGGGAGGAGAGTGGGGAGACCGGAGCTGAAGTCAGCCAGGACTTCGGGATTTTCTCCAAGCAGAGAGAAGAGGAGATAATCTACAGGATGTCCTCCACAGCAAATACCAACAGAGCTGATTTTGAAGCCAAATACATTGAGGTCAGCCCAATTGGTGTAAGAGGCTTCCACTTACTGAACAGTGGCATCCATTTATCTGACTTTTTACCTGTTGCCATCAAGCATTTGCTTAAAGTATTAATCATCATAATAATCATTTTGCACTGCAGACGCAGTAGTTCTTCTGTCTTAGCGTCTCGGTCTGATTGCATTTCCATAAAGTAATAATCATAAATGTTCTTCCTTGATTTG